ATGGGAAGCCTTGTCCCTGTCCTCGCCCAGGGCAGCTGCTGCTACGATGTTAGCATATCAACACCAAGAATTTTCTGCATAAATTAATAATGCAGGAAATTATCAAGCAATTTTCCCAGTCTGGAAAAGCTCTATATAAGGTTTATGCATTATTGAAAGGATCTGTTGTCATCATGGGAATAATGGTGGAGCTCCGATGTGTGGATACAGAGTCTAATTGAAGTTGCTTTGTGTTAATAATGCATTAGATCTTTATAGAGCTTTTCCACACTGTCCTGTTAAAGCATTATTTATAATTATACCACTCTACAGCTGGCCTTGGGTCTCAGGCCTCAAGAGTTGAAAGAGTCATTACACTAACGCATGTGCGGAAGCAAGTCAAGGCTAGTCATGGACTCTCGTGTATTGACATGACCAAGAAAACCACCAGGAAAAGTTCAAATTAATGGTTTTGGCCTGTTTAAATATGTCTTTAAATATTTAGCTCACATAAATAGTATTTCACGATTAGATTACTTTGTGTACTTGAAACAGTTTCCGAAGATTTTACTTAAAATCTTTAAATAACTAAAAATACACATTTAATATGGTGAAAGAATTAATAAATTAACAATTTAAAACCAGCCTCCCAGTCCAGACGTCTTCTCTACACAATCCTACACTTCCCACAGACTTCTAAAGACAAACTGCTCTGCTTCACACCAGCCTCTCGCCACCATTTACTTCACAAAACCCAAAGCCGTTGCCATGCCGACGAGGTCAGGCCGACCACGCGAGGCTGGACCAGTCATGGGTAACCTTTACAAAGATTGCACTCTGGTGTGCGCTTGTACGATTCTTTCCTTTTTGTAATCCCTGCTCTTTCTCTCTTTTTTAATAAACTATTCTCTAAAATGCATGGAAGATTTCTGGCATCGTGCTTTTCTTCCCGGTCTTCCATGGATGCCCCTCGCTCCTCGGAGTTCCGAACCCAGTCGGTCCTATTTCACAGCACAGCGACACCAGACGTCTCCCGCATTGTGTTGAACATTGTTGAAATATTTGTTTACAAGGTTCAGCGCGGTTTAATTTTCTCCTGATCAGCTTTCTCTCGATTTCTCTCTCTCTCTCGCGCTTCTCCTTCTGCTCACTCGAACTCGGAGCCCTCATTGTTTGAATATGCAAAGGGCTGGTGTGTTTGTTCAGTTTGGCTAATTGGGAGTTTGGTGAGATGAAAGCTAGCCTCTTGGCGCCCGGAAACCAGACTGGGGTTTTGTCGTCACCGTTGGGAAGAACGACTCGGGACGTGTTGTTTTACTAATTCAGGGTTAATGTGGAGACGTGTGGTGTCAGTGTGTAAAGTGTGTAACCGGCGAAACCCGCCAGCGACATGCATCTCGAAGCTCTGGGACACATCTGCAGTTTGAGAAGCTTCCATGCAGCGATAATAGTCTGTTCTCTGCGGTTACATGTAAACATTTACATATAATTACATATAAACGACTAAATGTAATACATATGTTGTTGTTATTGTGGGGACAAACAATAATATGTATTTCAACCCCATTTAAATGTATTTCAACCCCCATTTTCTTTTACATTTAAAAGAAACCTTGGAAACACTATAAAATAAAACCAAACCCTTGAAAAATGACAATTGTATTTACTGTATGGTAGTTTTGGGTGAAGTAGTAGCAGTTGTAGTATTGTCTGCAGTGGTAGTAGTAGTATTGAGAAGTAGTACTAATTTAATTTCCGGTACCATTATAGAGGCACATTTATCTTTCTTTCTTTTTACTCTCTTTTTATTATTATTTTCAGGTTTTATGTTTTTATTGTGCTGCAATAAACTTTTAGGTGTACTTCCTTGGTAATAGAAAAGTACAATAAATCAAAATGACAAAACAAAAACAAGATAGGATTTTTTAAAATGCATTTATTTATCTTGATGTATTAATGCACAAATTGGTTTTAAGGTTCTCTCTGGTGCCAGAATTCCTTTGGGAGCAAATAAAATATTTAATGTGGTGGTGGTTGTACTTTTTTTTGGCATTTATTGTATTTGTAGTTCTCCAGGGCGGCACGACAGTGCAGTGAGATTGCTCTAGGTTTTTCTGTGTGGAGTTTGCACATTCTCCCGGTGTCTGCGTAGGTTTCCTCCGGGTGCTCTGGTTCCCGCTACCACTAAAAACATGTACAATAGATCTGGCATGTGCCTCCTGTGGGTGACCTGCTCCATCTCTGTGTGGAGTGAGAGATAAAAACCTGCAACGATAGTAAAAACTTAGTGGTTCAGTTGGTAGAGCATTGGCCTTTAAGCCTGAAGATCTTGGGTTTAAGCCCACCATGAGACCTTCTCCACCGACTCAACTGATGTCTGCTGTTGTTGTGTCCCTGGGCAAGACTCTTAACCCACTTTGCCTATGAGGTGTATTCCTAAACACTGAAAATTCTTAAAAAAAAAAAAAACAATACAAAAACCATTGGAAGTACATAGTGTTACCATTCAAGACCTGAAAGATGAAGAATTTTAATTACGGTGTTCTCTTTGATGTCAAATTGCTTTATACACGCTTACATAAATAAAGTATAATTTTTATTTATTTTTTTTAAATCCAGAGTTACAATAAAACAAGCCAGATAAAAAAGTGGAAGGGACATTGGACGGACCACAAGTTGAAAATAGTAGAGCCGAGAAATCCACAGTTGAATCACATCAGAGCAATCAGTCACTGGAAAAAGGCAATAGAGCGGAAGTGCGAGATTTTGCAAGATTTCCACCCGAAGATACAAACAAACCACACGTGCCAGTTGTACGGTGCTGAGATCGCCGACTTCTTCCTCCTTAACGGATTTTTCTGTGTTGTTTTGGACACATTTCGTTTTTGGGACAAAAAACTGAGTGACAGGTCGGAATTAGCTGTGAACTCTGGCCATGTCCGGAAGTTTATAAATGACGGGGAGATGAGAAAGGTGCAGGGCCGTGTTCAGACTCATTGTTTTTTAATCCAATACTATGCATCAGAAAGACAATATAGAACCACTATTCCCATAAAAATAAATTGATGTTGTCCCTTACAGCTATCTTGGCTGCGTTGGTTATAAGCCAATATATATGAATGATCAGTTTTCTATCTGTTCATTAGCTCCATCTCCACTTCACACTCACTGCACCTTCACATTGGGCCTTTTCCTTTTTGCTGTGCTGTCAAAAATAACATGATGTAGTTGGGTTACCTATTCATTTAATACTATTATTATGATAGTCCTTTTTCTGTTATATTTGAACATTTGTTAAATGTTATTTAATATGCATTGTTCCTCCTTTATCTCTCATAAATAAAATAGATGTTTTATCAGAACTGCATAGCTTTTCCCACAGCTTCAGTTGCTCTTTGGGAAACCTAAAAAAAGAGCATGCCTCTTGCAAACTTTGTAGATTACAGTTGAAAACAAAGCAGAGCATTTTGTACCATTCCATTCCATACGAACAGCTGGTGGTTTGTTTGTATATGAGCAAAGAACCGGAAGTGCTTCTGGGACGAGACTTTCCAGCCCTATACAACAAAGGCGGTAAGAACATACTGTACAAAAATATATATTGTCTATGTATGAATTATATTGTCAACGATATACGATAGAAGATCTTTGCGAAAGTAGAAAATCCTAAAGTCAAGTTTAATTTAAGTTACAAATCAAACTAATCTCTTAAGTTGTTGTAGTTGGGTTTGTAGTAGTAGTGGTATTTGGCATAGAACGTATTAGTAGAAGACAGAAGTTTCAGTATTTGGTCTAGTGGTGGCAGTAGTAGTTGTATATATTTAATACATTACATTTTGTGTATATCTTTGTGAACTATTGACTCCCTGAAACACTTTTAAATGGGCTCCCACTTTTTTTTCTTTTTCATATTTTTGATTTGTAGGTATTTATCTATCTGGTTTAATTTTAGTAGTTTCTAGTCTAGTTTGTAGCCTCTCCAATTAATTGCATACATTATAAAATATATTTTAGTCTTCAAGTTATTTGGCACTAACTTGTTGCAACAGTAGCTCAGTTGGTAAAGCATTGGCCTTTGAGCCTGAAGGTTGAGGGTTCGAGGCCACCATGAGACCTTCTCCACCAACTTCCACTAATGTCTGCTTTAGTTCTGTCCTTGGGCAAGACACTTAACCCCACTTTGCCTTAAAGATCAAGGCTGCCACCCCCCCAAACCAGAAATGGATTATGGCAGGGGTGTCCAAACTTTTTAGTAAGATGGCCACTTTAGTTCACCAGATTTGTCCAGGGGCTGACATCATTCTAAAACTGCATTTACGTGGGTGCCATTTTGGGAGACAATTGAAAACACATGACATTATATACAAATAAAGTGAACGCTTGAACTCCAAAAGGTCACAGATTTAGAACGAGGTGCAGCATGACTTTATTGGTGGAGTTGGCTGGATGACTCTGTGGAACTGCCTCAATGGATAGTTTGTAGTAGCAAGGCAGAGGGCCACATACAATGAAACAGTGGGCCGCATTTGTCCTGCGGGCCTTGGTTTGGACTGCCTGGATTAAGGGGAAGAAGATGGATGTCACAATACCTTATTCAAGAATCATTAGTTAGGTCCCAGAGGAAATTTGTCTTGGACTCACAGGCTGCTACATTGAAAATACAGAGACAGACTTACAACAAAAGACTTATATGAATACAGTCCATGCTAACTCAGATATTTCCACAATTGTCCCAAAGCGATAAACACTTAGACATTGTTAAGACCTCTTAACTCTTGGCCTCCTCTCAGACCACTCACTTCCTCATTCTTCACAAACAGACTCTCATTTTTGCAACAGTTAAATCACCTATAAACTCATTTTCCAATTTCCATTAATCCCACCGTAATCACAGACTCCCTTGGAAACCCGGGAATCTGCACGTGCCGGCAAGTTCCCGCGCCTCTAATGGTGTTTACTTTGCCTGACGCGCTAAATGAACTTACCGTCTTTGGTCTCAGTCGGAACACATTAATTTTCCATTACGGCTTTTGTTGCTGCCGGTACCTGCTGTGGCCTACCCCTCTCTTCGACGCCGCGGCTGTGGAAGCTTTTGTGGTAAAGTCGCGGGGCGTTCGCAGACTCTGGGAAAAGTCATTACGAGTTGGCTTCCACCCCCCGCCATCCCAAGCACAGATCACCACGGCAACTGTTTTGGAAAGGAACCGTGGGATGGGACGCGCTAATGGTGGATGTGCTACAATAGTGGCATGAGGGAAGTGGTGTTTGTCGTTGAGTGTTTGGTTGTTAAAGCTGATACCTGATTTCTGTTGTTTTTGTGAGTTGCAGTTGTAGTAGTAGTAGTTGTTGTAGTCTCTTAGCCAATCAGCTCTCAGCCCAGTCTATAAATAGAGAAATGTTTTTATGTTAGGGTTAGACAGACTTAATTTGTTAAAGGGCAGGCTTCAATTCAATATTAATGTAATTGTTTTTATATGGACCTAAAACACAGCAGCAGTCAGCTCAATGGACTTAACAACATTGTTAATTCACTAGCAACAGATTGGAGAATCAAATTGTTTGAACACAGGAAACACAATAATAAGAAACACATAGGAGTCATAAATGTCGTGCATCAGCTAGAAACCACTTTGAGAGAGGAATCGCTCCCCCAGACTGACAAGACAGACTAAAATCGAAAACTGTAGAAAGCTGTAGAACGAGGACTGGGGCTGTGTGGTGCCGGACTGAGAAGGCTCCCGGACGAGGAAGGGAGGTGCAGCCCTTGATTCCAGACCAGGAGAGACCAGTCCACAGGTGCTGATGAAAGACTGGGGATAGGTTAGTTTACAGTGGGACGAAATACCAAGGTTTTGCAAGAGTCCCTAAAGAACAGAGGTCAGGAACCTATGGCTCTTTTGATGATTATGTCTGGCTCGAAGACAAAACTTCGTAGCAGTAATAGTAAGAATAAGTAATGTTTCTTCTGTATACAAGAAAATGTGCATGGCTCCCAGAGAAATACATTTTCAAACGTGAGACTTTTTGGCTGTCTTTACTAAAAACGTTACCGACCGAGAAGCCCCTCCCTATGTGTGTTAATTTAGTTTGTACCCTGTCTGTTTTGTCTTTTTAGCACATAACTTTGAAATCAATTATATCTTCACAAATACTCATTATTTGCGGTAACAATTCAGTCTGATTATAGAGACTCCCAATAGAACGGGCTATTATTTAGGGGATGTAAAAGTTTTCTAAGCTGTTAGTTCGCAATGAAAACATCAGCTTTATGTCACATGTGAAACCGCGGCATACACAGAGAAGCAGAGGTCTTCGATGGTTGTAATTGTGGTCAATGCGTGGCGGGGGGAAGGGGTAGGCGTAGCCACACGTGCTAATGGACCACTCCAGCTCTCTCCGCATCCTTCCTGGGGCACCGGCAATGCTTATTCCTCTCTATCAAATGTGACATCGCAATTACAGCTTTCTATGCCATGGGAAAAGGCAGCAAGTACATTTCTTTCTGACTGGCTAATGTGCAAAGTCCAAAAGTAGCAATCAAGAGCATTTATTCCATGAAATTGGCATCGGAAAAACTAGGGAGGGGAAGGAAGACGTGGCAGCAGCTGCAGATTAGGAGAAGGAAGGACAGATGGATTGGAATAGATGGAGACGGGAAACTGGTGCGAAAGCGATGATTAGTTTTGACCTTGTGTGTGAAAGGCAAATGGAGGTCAAACGTTATTGGGTTTGAGACGAGCAACCGGACTGATTTTTGAGGTTGGTAAAATGGTAAATATTTAGAGCAACTTTGTAGGAGAAAGAATGATAGGAGTGACTTGGATGGTTTTCCCGTGATTGGCAGAGAGCACACGTCACAGTGAGCCCTGGTTCTACCCATTTACAAACTTTGGAAAGACTTCAGTTTAGGTCAGACACAAACAGACTGGTTCAGGGATTATCACATGTATTGAAGCAAAAGGTTTTTTTTTCGCTTGTGATTCAAAGCCTGAATAAAGATCAAGCTTTTTCTAATGTCCTTATTCCCTGATAGAAATGCTCACCACCAGGAGAAAACATGTGGTCACTTATCTTGTGCTGTGTGCTCCTCTTTCCGACTGTTCTGCAACTTGTGATGCACATTGAAATGTCCCCACTATGCTACAAATACAGGATCTCTCAATCTCTTGTAGAAAAAGCTAAAATGAACAGTTAAGTGTCTGCAGTTTTGACTACCTGGGTTTTGAGCAGTGATTTGAAAAACTCACTTTGAAAAAGGGGCAGTATGTAAAAATCTGTCAAAGTGATACTGTAACCTCTCTCACTCGCACTGACTCAGGTTGCCAGATATGCAGACAAATCCAGCTGGGACCATAATATCTGAATATACAGGAGTTTTGTCACAAACAAATCTATAACCAACACCTTTTTCACAAAGATAAAAATCCTGGTTTTAATCCTTGTTTTGTCGTTAATGATTTGAAAATCATACCGACCCCTTATTTAAGTCTTTACCATTGAGATTAGCTCGGCCCGGTGAGTTCTGCATGGGGCCCTGATCACGGACTTTCTGATTGATAAAATGGTGGAGGGCGGGACATCGAAATGAAAACAATAAGAAGATTTAGAGGCTGTAAAACAAATTTTGAAATTTGAATATCTGTTATCAGTTAAAGAAGTATTGGAAAATATCATGATTTTTAATTCCTTTTGACAGATTAGGGCCCTTTAATGATGACTAGACATATTGCTACTTGAAAGATATGTAGAAGGCTTTTACAAAATTTTAGGAAAGAACTGCCCTCTCCACTTTTTGAAAACTCTCTGGTCTCTTTTGGCAAGCACAAATCACCAGAATGATTGACAATCGGGAGAACCAATAGTCTTGATGATCCACCCGGAAGTAGAAAAATCCTCCTATATACCTTTCAAGTCTTAATCTTCAATGCAAAAATAACAAGCACAAAGAAGCCATCGGTCGACAGGGAGCGGAGGACCCATAAATTGACTCACTAACGTCATTTGACCAATTAAAAACGACACCGTCACCTTTACTCAGAGACAAATGAGAAACTAAATCCACGGACGGTTGACGTGGCGGCAACGCACCTGTGAAATGTTTGCTAACCGTCGCTGCCTTTGAGCATATTTATCCCGTCTTGTATTAATTACAGCAAGTGAAGAAATCATCAGCGGCCCTTCTGTGCTACGCCTTAATGGCCAAACCGTGAAATGAGTCCAAGTATGCGCTCGCCGGCATATGGAGGTCCCACTTATTTATGAACCGCGTAATGAAGACAAAACAGGGACTGTCAGAAGTCGGCAGTTCTCCCCGACGCCGAGATTCTTTGATTAATTTGCGCAGACGTCTCCCTTGACACATTAGCTGCGTTTAAATGAACAAAGTGTGTGGATTAGGACTGAGGATCCTCGACGATACTCGCTGCCAATTTGGGATGTTTGGGGAGAGGCGATTGCAGCGATAGATTTGTCAAAAGTTAGGACTTGTTTGGGAAGAGGCGTGAAGGCGGTTGTTGTGTACGGTGTAGTTTACGTTGGACTGTGGGCCATGGTTAAGCAGACTAGAGAGAGAGACCAGAGAGAGAGAGAGAGACTAGAGAGAACACAGAGACAAACATAGACTAGAGAGAACAGAGAGAGACTAGAGAGAGAGAGACTTGAGAGAACAGAAAGAGAGACCAAAGAGAGACAGAGACTAGAGAGAACAGAGAGAAACAGAGACTAGAGAGAACAGAGAGAGACTAGAGAGAACAGAGAGAGACTAGAGAGAGAGACAGAAACTAGAGAGAACAGAGCGAGAGACAAGAGAGAGCGACACCAGAGTCATGTTGAGGGACAGCTACTGTATACTGAATTTCCATTGATTGATTGAATTGTTTTTGAACCATAGACTTTATCCAGCTAAGAAGAGGTTTCATGACTCGGTAAATCAGAAAAATGATAATGATAAAACACTTATCCAGTGTGTGTGTGTGTGTGTGTGTGTGTGTGTTGATATGTAACGACTCAAAATGTAATCCTTTAGGACCATCTGTCAAACTCCTGAATTCCACACCTTAGAGACCACAACAACACCGACCTCCTTGCGTGTCTCTCGGATCCATAGTGCAGTCGATGGTCCCGCTAACCGGCCTCTCCTGCAGGTTGACAGGCCCCTCCCTCTCGCCAGTGTTCAGCCTCTGACACATGACGGCTGTAAAGTGGAGAGACCATAAAGATTTAATTCTGCGTTGGCTCGGCTTAAGTGGCTTTCCTCGGGTCAACAGTTCCCAGAGGAATTTCCAAGAAAATCTCTGGAATCCTGCCATTCCCGCCCAGCGCAGGTTCTCACTCCATCACTCCTACGCAGTTTGCAGACGGCAATATTGGATTAGGGCTTTCCACAGCTGTCAGATAGAGACATATGGACGGTTTGGCGAAAGACGTCATTGTGTGGTTCATATAGGGATTTCAAATTGTGTCTTTATGTACGGTGCCTGAAGGACTACTGACCGCATCTGTAGATAAACCCCATCAGTTACATTACTAAAGACAGTAAGCTTTGTCCACATATAGGCCTCACTGGAATATAAGGTTTTCATGCTGTAATGTAAAACAACATAACAGCCGATGGACAAAACAAGCCGACAGACCGCAACTGTGCAGTAATATACAATACTGCACTATAGAGACACACAAACAAACTGAACCACACACACACTGATGCACGACAATAACAAAAACATTTTCTATTTTCAATTTCCCTTTATTCTTGTATAGCCCTAAATCACAACAGCTGTCATCTCAGAGAACTTAGCAAAACCATTGAAATCATCAACACAGATCAGAGAATCAACAGTTAAGACACAAATGTATTGGTCCATAGGGAGAGACCAATGTCCATGAATATTGATAAATGTCATACATGTTGTAGAATGTAAAAGTGTCCTGGATCATCTCCACAGTCCTTCTTAGTTGGACACTAACTATCCAACAGATCCTCCTGCATTGGCAAATAAAAGCTCTATAACCCAGTGGGAGAAAAGTGAGAAACCTCTGGGAGATCCACATTGAGAGAGGGATTCATTCCACACGGACGGACGGAGAGGCTATCAATCCGAGACTCAGACTGTAGCACGAGGACCAAGGCCACGCAATGGTTGTGGAACATGGACAGGTGCGGTGCAGGGCTGAAGCAACTCCCAGGGTTCATGTCTAAATCGCTTTGCATTATTTGTAATTGACATTAAAATCAAAGATTTACTCAAATAATTTTTAACCTTTTTGATCCATGTGTTTGTTATTTTTATATGTCGAATGAGAAAATGTGCTGTTGCAAGTTTGACAAAACCTTAAAATTCCGAATAAGATTGTCCAGTTTTTGTATTTTTTGTCAATTCAGCCTGAGGACACTGCAGAGATCAAAGTCTGGGCCGCATTTTCCCCTGGGGCACTACGTCTTGGACAACGGTGTTTTATGTCGCATTCAACGCCAATTTGTTGCCACTGATCATGAGAAGCCTGTTATAAAAGGTTACAGTCACACATTGACAAGTGTTTTACAGTTGAACGCTGCCATTGCACGTGAGCTACAGCGATGTAAGGCTAGCTCCGTCCACTTTGTGTGTAACAAGCTCAAGGTTAATGCAAAGTGAATTCGTGGTGAACTTTTATCTGCGTTGAAAATGACTGTGAAATCCAGCCGCAGACTCTCACCTACGAAGTCATACTTTTGAATCAGGGCACATTCTACATTAATAATTCAATGTGGAGAAAGACACAGAAAATGATCCAATACCAGAACGGTCGCAGCAGCAAAACGTATTCTGGTTTCTCTTGCGGAACGTGTGATGAGTTTTCCAGTTGTTTTGAAATGTATTGAAATGTGAAAGTTGTTCATAAACGTAACGCAGATTCAATTATAGGAGGATTTTCGCCTTCCGGTGGATCATCAAGACTATAGGTCCTCCCAGTTGTCAATCATTCTGGTAATTCGTAAGACCAGAGAGTTTCAAAAAGAGGAGAAGGCGGTTCTTTCCTAAAATTTGGGAAAATCTTTCTGTATACCTTTAAGATTAGTGAATGATTTTTATATTGATATTGTAATGTAAACTTTGGTGGCAATGACTGAGGTCAAGCCTATCCTGTAGGTCTTCCCACACACTGGAGCTGGATTTTTGACCCATTCTTCCCTGCAGGTCTTCTGTGATGTCAGACTCCATAGATTTTCCAATGGGTTGAGGTCTGGAGACTGGTATACAAGTAATATAGATTCTAATGATACAATCTCATGCTACATGGCTCTACTCATCTATTCTTTAATACAGATAAGTCCAAACCGTAGTGTTTCCACCCCGGTCCTTCACTGTGGGTGTGGTGCTCTTGGGATGCAGTTCTTTCATCTGATCGCTGACTAAAGGGATGAGATTAAGTTAAGATTAAGTATTAATGCAATTTTAAAGCATATCAATTGTAGGGAAAAACATCAACATTTCAGACGTATCCCATCTTGAATCTAAGAAAAATCCAGAAAAAAGGTGGATTTTACTGTCACCCAAGCAGCCGTTCTGCAACGTATAGAAAAACATGAAAAAACGACACGCAGGCAGCCATTTATTATACACACAAAAGATTTGATCAAACAAATATACTTTCAAATAAAACAATTCAGCCACAGACAATACGTACATTAGCTTTACAAAACCACTGCTGTTATTCATTTTAAAAGCACTGACAAGACAAAGCACAATGGTACTTAACTAAAATATACACAATACCAGTGGTGGGCAATGGTTTTCTCCAATGGGGGGAATCAATGTGAAATCTACTTCAATCATATTTTTTTGTTCTTCTGCTTTGATTAAACCAAAACTGGGCACTTGAGTGGACAGTATGAGATGTGAGTTTAAAAGGCTGGGAAGGATCTTTGAGGACAGTAATAAAAGTACACAGAATATACAGAGATACTTTAAGTAGCAGGGGATGCTTCTAGCTACCTGTACATTCGCAAATATCAATTTATGTACATAGTATAGCCCACAGTTTTCTCAGGTCTTACCCCTAGAGGCGCCAAATTGGCAAAATTGCTACACAAACTTCCAAAATCCATGACACTTTCTATACTTCTACAATATGTTATTGATAGTAGCCTACTATCTCTTTTACGTTACAGGGAGTCACCTTTTGCTTATTTCACATTACATTTCTCAAAATAACACAACGCGCGTAAAGGATTAAGTAAAATCTCTCCATGCATCGATCTCTGCTCCCATTGCAGTCACAGAAAGTAAAAATTATGTCTTGTTTGTATATTGGGAATGCCTCTTGGACCCCCTTACCTGCGTTTCTTGGCGAGGCTGGCACACTCAATGATTACATTGTAAACTTTACCGTAAAACACCGGTGATATGCGGCCGTGTCAGGTCCTCTCGAATACCAACCAGGTTTATACCCAGAGCCAAATGCGCCGCGCTGCTTCTAAAGGCATTTATTGTTCTTATTTTATTCTTCATGACTTTTACACACTCCGGTGGTTCTTGGCTGGCGGTAATGATCACCCCCGCCAAAGCCATCAAACGGCAAAGGCGAGATGGGGATGAGCCAATGAGGTGAGGAGAGCGTTTTGGGAGAGGAAGGCGGGCTGGAAATGTTGTTGCTAAGTGTGCGCCGTTATTATTTATGAGCGAACGTGACTTAATGAGGCATCAGAGAACTGCGGGAGACTTGTGAGAAAAACATATTTAAAACTTAGTCAGAGATCCTAATGGAGAGACGGGGGAATGGATGGTTCGGAAATGTAAAACTATTTGTTGCCAGGAGTCTGTAGATTGGTGTTGGATTTCTGAAAAAGAAGGGGGAATTAAATTGATTTGATGACATTGTTTTTTTTCTGAAGGTTCTTTCTATAAACCACTTTTCATAACTCGTCTACCCGACCAACAAACTCACCCCAGACCTTATTATAAACCCCCATTATACACTCATGTACATTTCTCTAAAGTGTATCTTATCTTAATAAAACATGTGCACACACACACAGAATCATGCCTCTGTCTGCAATGTATCAATAATCTATGACAGCCTGAGCTTATTATTGTATAAATCCATTTGAAATCTCCATCCCCCACTATGGCATCTGGTGTTCCCAGAGGTCTCCCATCACAGTACTAACCAGGCCATGCCCATGTTTAGCTTTAGAAGTCTGACAGGATCTGATTTTCACATGTTTTGCTTCTGGCAGGCCCAGGGCAGCTGTGGCTACAGTAGTAATTTTGTAAAAAATATAATAATGATTGGGATGAAAGCTAAAATGGCCAAAACATCATTAAATAAATTCCATTTTGGACATCTTCATTTTAATTAGATGCAAATGTGGGAGGAATAATTTGACAACAAGAAAGCATCACACATTCAGAGACTTGTTTATGTACGAAACCTACTCTTTCTGTACAGTTGTCGTGAACCCCAACTGTGAACTGAGTGAATGACTAATGGGAAACTTCGAGAGAATATGAATAACTCAAATATACATGCATCACTCTAAAAACAACTTTGAGTCTATATGTCAGAGGGGAACCGCTCTGACACGGTCAAAGCTGTGAAAAGTCCTGTTGGATCCTTTTTAAGAATGTTTGGAAGGATTTTCCACATAGACGTCTCTTAAAACTTTGTAAACATTGCAGTGTGTTTCTTGGGCGGGGCTTAGCCGTAGGCGAGACGAGGCACTGGAGGCCGTGTTGAGATGATGACAATGGACCGCAATCTTTGGACCCGCAGCCATTTAACCACAAAAAGTGCACGTCGAAACAGAAATGCAACATCACTCCTCCTTTCTGTGCTTGGGCACTTCGGAGAGAGTCCCGAATGTCATCCACAAATTCAAATAATAGACTGGTCTTTCATCCAGACACCGACAAATATGCTGTAAATAAGGATTGTAGTCCATTGTAGTCTCAATGAAGGGAAGTTACTGATGCAGAGGTGTAAATGTGGGAGGACACAGCTTCATTCAGACACAATTGTCGTTGCCTATTTTTACTACAGCCGTTTCTCCTCTTCAGAAAACACAAAATACAAGAAGACATTATTAGTGGTTAAAATGTACCATTGTACTGTTCGTGGACTTCAGCTCTGCCTTCAACACAATCCTGCCATCCCTGCTCCAGGACAAGCTCTCCCAGCTCAACGTGCCCGATTCCACCTGCAGGTGGATCACTGACTTCCTGTCGGACAGGAAGCAGCGAGTGCGTCTGGGGAAGAATGTCTCGGACTCTCGGATTATAAATACAGGAGCCCCACAGGGCTGTGTTCTTTCTCCCCTGCTCTTCTCCCTGTACACCAACCACTGCACCTCCAGCCACGACTCCGTGAAGCTGATCAAGTTCGCGGACGACACCACCCTCATTGGACTCATCTCCAACAACGATGAGTCCGCCTACAGGAGGGAGGTGGACCGGCTGGTGTCCTGGTGCAGTGGTAACAACCTGGAGCTGAACGCCCAGAAGACAGTGGAGATGATTGTGGACTTCAGGAAGAGCACTGTCCCCCCGCCCCCACCCTCCGTGATGGACTCCCCCATCACCTCTGTGGAGTCCTTCCGTTTCCTGGGCACCACCATCACCCAGGACCTCAAGTGGGAGCCGACCATCAGCTCCCTCATCAAGAAGGCCCAGCAGAGGATGTACTTCCTGCGGCAGCTCAGGAAAGCCAAGCTGCCTGCACAGATGTTGGTGCAGTTCTACACGGCCATCATCGAGTCCATCCTCACCTCCTCCATCACCGTGTGGTTCGCTGGAGCCACAGTCAGGGACAAACAGAGACTACAGCGCATTGTGCGCTCTGCAGAGGAAGTGATCGGCCGCAGCCTTCCATCGCTGCAGGACCTGTACGTCGCCCGAGCTCGAGGCCGGGCTGGTCGTATCACAGCCGACCCCTCTCACCCTGCACATGGACTATTCCAACCACTCCCCTCAGGCAGGAGGCTGCGGTCCATCAGGACTAGAACCTCCCGCCACAAGAACAGTTTCTTCCCCTCTGCTGTTGGACTCTTGAACACTTCTTAACCTGTCCCCCCGCCCTTTATAAAGTCACTTTACTGCCCATCATACGTCACTTTACTTCACTGTACTGCTGTCACCTTACATTGTGTGCACCATGTGCACTTGTATATTGTAAATAGTAACTGTAACTCTATTTTAAATTTAAATTTATTCTTTAGAAGTGTTTTTTATTCTTATTTTTATTATCTCTTTTTGACTGTTGCACTGAGCCAAAGCAATTTCCAAGTCTGTGACCTCCCGTTACTTACGTTGGCAATAAAAATGATTCTGATTCTGATTCTGATTCTGGTCCATAAAGGCTGGATGACCAATGTACATTTCAAGGCCTCCTAGTCCTCTCTCAGTTGTGTCTCTCTCTCTTCCAGTCATCTCCTTCCCTCCCTAGTTGTCTCTCTTCCTCTTCCTCTCACCTGTCTCTCTGCCTCCTGCACTCATTCGAACCCAAACCCAGCATCTTTGTCCCAAAATGCCATGGAAACCCACAGTTGACGTAGAGGAAGACGAACCGGCAGCTGGCTAATGAAGACGGCGACCAAGATCCGGCCCAGCGATCCGCGATCTCTCCCACGTAAACATGTCCCCTCCTAATGACAGAATTACGAGCCTCCTCCGTCTGCCACTCAATCATACGCAGCCAATCGGAGCGCCTCTCCAATCAGCGCCAGGAAGTCCCATCTGCGTACATGCCCGGATGGAGGATGTAATCAAAGGCGGCCGTGTAAAGGGTTCTTCAAACGAGGCTTCATTTACTTGCCACTACTGGTTTAGCGTGCGGTAATTTGATTTTAAGAATTAAGCTTGAGGCGGAAAGAGAGAGGATTGATTGCAAACTACGATTTTGTGTTTTGTGGTAATCAAAGTGGTTGGAAAGCAGAGAGTTGTGCATGTGGTGTTGTAGCCACAGCTACCCTTGTACTGACTGAAGGAAGCAAGGCAACTCCCAGAACCCTCTGCAAAAAGTTAACCCTTTTCCCTACTAGATTTTTTTTGTTGTCGTCCCTTGATGAGGGTCTAAGGACAGTGGCGATCCAGGACTTTTAAGTTCATGTATTGGTAATCCCACTTTCTATGGACCAATGGCTCTTATGCGTTTGTTACCATTGCATCTGTGTACAAACTATTTGATTCTTTGATCTGTTGTTGGTGAAATTTGGTAAAAACATCTGCGTATGTCATCAGGTAGATTTGAACAGTGCATACGGGCATGGTAGACTTTCACAGCACAGAAAACAGGGTCGCATTTCTCACTCAGCTCTGATGTCCAAATTTCTATTTTTATCCATGACGCTTTGGCTTCATACCTTCATCACATGATGTGTTTCTTTTAACCACAAACTAGACTTTCATAGCACCCAATAAACTGCTGTGGACCTGCATAGACCATTCATTTCCTACGAGAAATTGAATGGATGGTTCCTAGACTGAATGTTCACTTGTGACTTTCAGTCTGGTGCTGGCCTCGCTGCAACCAAAACAAGTACGAATGCACCCCTCGTCCCCCTATTTAGATTCGCCGCATATTGTTTTCTAGTATCTCCTTTTGTTGAAATAACTGTTCACGCTTTACTCTATCTCCATATTCCCATGGCTGCCTGAATTGTTCCTCTTGTATTTTGTCACGTCTTTACCTCTCCCCAAGCTTGGATAAGGTTCAGTGCGCCCCGAGGTGAGCAGCGAGGTGTATTTGAATGATTTGGTATGCAGCGACAGCACTGTTCCCAAGGAGCTCTGGCCTTATCTCCTTAATGGATTATGAGCAGGGGAACAAAAACACAGGGTGGCGGTGGCAGAATGATTGGACTCTGTGCGAGGGGAAGAAGGAAAAAAAAGGCCACAGGAATTTCGCAGCGGGTCGATAAATGTGGAGAAAGAAGCGAAAATAGGAGAAAGTGTATATATATTGCCATTGGAGCCGTTATTACAAGCTGGAATTAGATTAAATGGAAGGAAAGCATGGGGTATATTTGGTGTCGTGAATGTTGGGTTGAGCAATGAGGGTGATGATATTCCAGGATATGATGTTGTAATTCTAGATGTGTAATCATGTGAGATTGGTTTCAAATGGATTGGAGTCCTGGATCTACAGCCCGTCAGTCCGTGAGAGCGGATCCCTCTCTCGATGTGGGTCTACCCGAGGTTTCTCACTTTTTTCACTCACTGGGGTTTTGAGTAGTTCCTTGCCAATGCAGGAGGATCTAAGGACAGTGCTTGAGGACAAAAATATGGCCCATAGTACACTGTGTTAGTATTTATTGGTTAAAATTAAAATTTTAGGACATTTATAAACTTGTTGTTATTACTTATGTACATCAGTCACCCACCCCCATAGTAAATTAGGTAATTTCCTGGATACTGGTTTGCGGTGGGTAGGTTGGTAGGATTCGGTACCAGATACTATACATAATGGAAACACAACCAGGAAGAGTAGAGTAAGTAAGTAGAGTAGAACCAAGTAGCGCTAATGGAAACAGATCTTAGGATGGAAGTAAGTAAACATTTCATTGATTACTAACATTAGTTGACAGTTATTCCAATAATTGATTAGTTCCGATTGAAGACCAACTTAGTTTTCCTGAAGCATAATTATAAAATGTAGCTATGTCTAAGGAACTATGCTAGATAGGACCCCCTTGAAAAAGAGATAGCCCCATTGAGATAAACTATCCTGAAATAAATAAATATGCTAACACAAAGTAAGCTACGGAGTATTTAATCGTATTTATTTGTATTTTCTGTAGATTTAATTTTCTCGTTGTAACTGAGATAAAACTTAATTTAAGCTTCAGTTTTTACCCCTCAAATAAACTTGACGCTACAGTCACATATACATTCATGACATGTCTTCAATTTATCAGAGAACCACATACTGATTTTAGCCTAATGTCTGTGTGCACGAAAACTAAAAAGGCACTTTGGACATCTCAATTCTCGCTATATATAATATATTAGCCACTGGTTTCTGACCTGCATACCAGCTCAAATCTCACTTGAAACAGGCAGTCTTTCGAATATATATGAGATTTTTGTTTACCTCTGGGCAGTTGGTAGCAGACCCCTATCAACTCGCCCTTGGAAGAAAAGTCTTATTTCAGATATGTTTTGCCTTTTCTGCAATCCTTCCCACTGTTTCCGTCCACAACGCAGCTGAGTCCTATCAAACAGTCTGAGTTAAACATCTCAAAGCGCCTATGAAAACATCATTTGGTCCCTTTGTGCAGCCCAGTGATTTGAGAGCGGACATGAAAGGCTGCGGATAAATGATTTACATTCAAAAAGCGATGCATAATTGTGGGTTTTAATGATTGTGACGCTGTAGAGGACGCTTGAGATCTGTCTTTTGCCGTTAAAGTAGGTCACCGAGTGTTTAAAATAGCAAAACGTCAACTTTAAACGCAATAGCCATGGATTGCAGTGAGAAAGGATTAGTGTTTTGTATGCTTGACCAGTTAGAGTAGCATTTGGAAGATAGGTGAGGTGCAATTCCCTGGCGGTTGGTTTAAGCGGAGGTGCGTGAAATGGTATTGATTGGAGGAAGAGCGTTCGCTTGAAAGAGTTTGACCTTTTGGGGCTTTCTTGTCGAACACGTAACGTTGTTGATATTCCACACAGCCGCAGGTCAAAGTCAATGTATGTTGCCATCGGGCTGATTCCGGTTGAAATCCTGCTATGCCTCCCTCGACAATAGTCTTTAGACTGTTTCCAGGCTTCGTCATGTCATGCTGAAATGGAGAAAACCACGAATGCTACTCGGTGTAGAGTGTAGTGAAGCGTGTGTCAGCTGCATAATTGGCGGTCATGTCTCTCAACAAAAACGAGTAAAGGAAAATGGCAATGAAGGTGTGTAATGATCTGGTGGGAAAAGGAAATCTGTAAATACTACGGAAAATACAGGAGGGGTTTATGTTTAGTTCATTGTTGATGTGGACCCAGGGTTTAGAACTGCCCTCCTGGAGACAACATCATAGATACATGTAATTATCTTGTCTAATTTACCGTTCTGGACTTTTTCAACGCAGGGGGGTCAAACACATCATGATCAAGGGCATAATTTTAGAAAAACGAAGAGCTGATCTTGGGGCCGAGAGAAAAAAAATTAGTTTATTGTTAGTTTGTTTGAAGCTGTTTCTTTGGCATCTGTGACAGCATTTTTGTTTACATTTGTAAATTTCTCCGGTGTGAGATCATTAAAGTCTATCTTATCTTATACTGTCTTAGCAGTGTAAAGCCATTTTTTTAAAGGAATACATTTAATTACCATGAGTTTGGATAGAAAAATCTGGCATTTTTTTCTATTTGAAATGACTCAAAACTGTTCAGAACTATAACAGAGGCTTGTATTTTTTTTATTCCAGTGCTTGGTTCAAATGTTAGAATCATCTAAAATATGTGGTTGGGTTCGTTTTCGGGAATTTTTGCCCATCGATGCTGCGAGCCAATCAGAATCATTGCAAATCATTTCTGGGGCCACAAAAATATTTGTGTTTGACACCTGTGTGTTATTGTTGTACACAGCCATTTGTTTCGCTTGGTTCTGATGTGATGGTTTTTGTCCTCTTCTATACATGAAGAGATTCTGTTATTTTATTTTAAGGCATGTGTTATGTTTGGGCACCTTTTGACTCTTGTTTTTGTCCGGGTATGGGATCTCATATTATTCACGTAGGATTGTGCAATTTTGAACTCTTAACCTGTCTGTGTCCCAAATATGTTTTGTCCTTCGGGTCGTAACAACATGTGATGATGTGTCGATAGTTTAGAGATCTGGATTTGGTTGATTTTTAAGCCAATTTGTTCATGCTAGGTTCTTTATCACTGGCAATAAGACTAGAAGATTTGACTTGAAGAATTTGCCTTACAATAACCCTAATGCCAGCTTTGCCTACAAGGCTTAAACTTGCTAAACAGAGGTTTCCCAACACATTTCATGATTTAAATGCCGGGTCCCCTTTGGTTTGGTTTGGCCTTGTTCTGGCTGAGTTTAACCGCACCCGAAGGAACCATATTTTGGTGCTCTTTGTTTGTTTCACCCCACGCCCAGAGGTGTCACCCACAGAAAGTACCTTGCGTGGCTGTTTTGGTTTTTGGCTCCTCTCGATGTGCGTTTGTTTGCTGCGGTATGATTCCAGGCTGTGTGAGACGGCTTCTTCTTTGGCGAGCATCTGTTGTGTGGTGTGAGTACAGTTCAGATTATGAAGATTTCAATCCAAGCCTTTTTTCTGCCAAACAGTTCTCTCTGTGTTCCATAAGTACTCCAACTCCAAAAGGAAAAAAAAAGCATTTGTGTGAGCAATAGCCGTCGGCGGTTGCACCAAATGAAAATGCTTTTTTTTTCAAACCCCCCCACACGCCTCACTCAAGAAGTGTTTGCTTGTTTTCTGTTCCTATACTCGCTCTCTATCTCTGAAACTCTCTCTCTCTCTCTCTTTCTCTCTCTTTTATTTTCTGTTTGATTTGAACTCTTGACATCCGAATCCGCCCCAGGATGTCTGTCACAAACTGCAGTCCAACGTTGTGACAATGCTTTTTTTCTTCCCGTGCCTTTTATGACCTTCTTTTCTTCCTCTTTCCTTTTCCCTTTTTCTGTTCTTTCCCTCTCAAGGTCTGGCGCACCTGACGTTAAACGACCAAGGTATGGGTTCATTCCTTTTTTTCTTGAGTTGATTTTTGGATCCGCGTTGACTCTTCGACCTCAGCCTCTTTGAAGCCGCTCTCCCAGATCTCCCTCTCTGCTTCTCACCTTCCCTCACTGCCTCATCCCTCCATCTCACCCCCCGAATCCTTTGTCTTTGAATCCTCTCCGGCATCCATCCCCCATCCCTGTGCACTTCGTCCTTTGTGGAGACTTTTATTTTGGAAATGAAATGCGAACCTGAAAAGTTGTTCCCGGTTAATTGGTCAAAAGTCTGCAGTGGCAATCAACCAAAGTCTTTTAATTGGACGGAATAGTTATATAAAGCCGAGTACGTCATCCTTATCCAGTTTGATTTCCTTTTAGCTTTGTTATTTTAAAAAGACAGTGCGGCCTAATGGCTCATTTATTCTTCTAATTTACAAACTCTGCTTAAAGAATAGGTTTTGATCTGCAAAGTTCTGTGCATCTCCAGTCATTTTTTGTTGTGGCTTTTTTCTCCCCAACTAATACTTTGGTCACTCCTAGATGGGTGACATAAAGGAGCGGTCTGATTTGGCAAGACCGAAAACCTAAATTCACCTCAAAATCATCACTAGATAATGCAGTTCCAACAAATTCTTGATGTATCTTTTATCGTTTTTTCCATAGGCAAAGTTAATGGAGACATTTGGACGTTTTTTTCTCAATTGTGCTTGGAACGCAAACTTGTTCCAGATTCAGAAATGGTTGTGTAGCTACAGCTATTCATTTCAATTTAGCATTGCACATAATAATAGTTTCATCCAGAGAGTCCTGTCTTGACTTGAAGACTTGCTGAAATGAGTGAACCATTTTGACACCCCTGGCTTAGAGCATTGACGAACCTTTGCTAGAATTCAGAAAATTCATTCAATCTCTCT